ATTCAAAATTCGGAATAATTTGTAATATATAATTATTCACGGTATTTAGAAGTGCCCACGATAACAATATCGTGCATATTCATTACCGTGATATATCGCATTACCAAATACCGGCACAAGTCTAGTTGTGTTGCATCCAAACTGCGATGTGAGTAAAAAAAAAAAGTGAAGATTAGATTTTTATTTCTCAGCATAAACGCAGCCTATTGAGGCCTCGTGTCAATATACAATATACAATATACTCATGTAAATTTTATACCTCCCCAAATACCACATACCATTGATCACTAGCAATAGAAATTGGCACATCGTGGTTCATGGCTGAAATGTAAACTTTTTTTTTTTTTTATTAAAACAATAAGAACTACATAAACACGAGGCAGAAATCTGCATTTGCCAAACCTTGTCATGGGGTTTTTAACATCACTAATAGCCACATCTACATAACTGATACAAGACTCCATTGGAAGAAAGGGCATTTACCGTATCGTTCAACAATTACTGGCAGTTAAATGGACATGTACATGTGTCAGCATCTGAGCTAACAAAAGAAAGCTTACGGAAAACTGCTTGTTGTGCAAGACTGCTAACCACATGAGAGCTCTTTTAAGTGTAACAGATTTTTCTGGTTTCATTTTAGGGTTTTTTCCTTAACTAAAACAGCTCAAGATATAAACAGGACGTGCATACATAATTTCACCATATTAATTCCCATCTGGCGTATTAGCATGCAAACCAGGAACTGAACGGTTTACGAGCTGCGTGCTTTATTCAGAATCCACGGTGAAACCACATCACACACAAATCTCTTCAGCTGTAAGATTTTATCTAACAAACCTCAACTCACTGTACTTCCTGTCTACAAACCCACTGACAAAGACAGCGCAACAAAAATAACAACAAACATAGCTATGTGTGGAGAGAAAACTGCACTCTGCTGTGACCCGAGGGAACATCTGCAGCGAGAGCACGCTCCGTACTTTCTCCAGATTAAAACAATGCCTTTGTTTACCACCTTTCCGCTAAAGCCCCGCCTCACACACGCTTTCTTCGTCCCACATGAAAACAGAGATTGGTCAACACTGCGGCGCTGCTGAGCTCAGCTGCAGACGAGACACTGTGGGTCAAATGCTGTCAGTTGTCCTTTAGAAGAAGAAACAGACACTCTCAAACACACAACGTTATGATGACGGTCATATGCAATATGTGAAAGCAAAAAAACTTTGGAACGGAGGTAAAATCACAACATAAAGATGCTAAAAGACATCAATGTTTAATACAGATTTGCATTTCCACTAGCACTAGTTTTAAGCCTGCAGAAATTCCCAATTCAGATCAAATTCAATTTGCCAATTCCAATTCACTATGCAAATATCACTATAAGGTCACTGTTTTCAAGTTGTTTTCAAACTTTTAATATACATCTGCACACAAAAAAAATCAGATCTGCATTAGATCTTTTCCTTTTGTTTTGATGTACATTTGAGCGTAAAGTATTACCAAAAAACTAATTATCTTTGTTCAATCCATCAATTGTTGACTGAATGGAAGCAGATCAGAATGCGAGCTTGCAGTCAATTGTAAGAAACTAATGCAGTTTACAAAAGGCTAAATGATTGGTGAATTCCAATATATTTCACCAGAAAAAAGTTGTCATTTCACCAGAAGATCAAGATGATTTTTAAGTCCAAAAAAAACAACAAAAAAAAACAATTAAAACGCATGCATGGATGAATCATTCACAACAAGATAAATAACATGTATTTAAAATACAAAGTGTGAATTTTTATTTCATGAATCTGAATCTGCAAATTAATTGCAGAAAATTGTGTAAAAGTAAAAACCACAATAATTCTGTCTTCGAGTAAAAGGTAATTTGCTTTAGACTTTTTACAGTTGCCAAGCAATGTAGTGTAATAATATTGGCAATATTTGCATTTGGTGAAGTCAATGGCTTCAAATGTTGCTCAACAAATGTGGCCATGGACCACAAAACCAGTCATAAGTGTCAATTTTCAGAAATTGAGATGTATACACCATCTGAAATCTGAATAAATAAGCATTGATGTATGGTTTGTTAGGATAGGGCAATATTTGGCCAAGATACAACTATTTGAAAATCTGGAATCTGAGGGTGCAAAAAAATCTAAATATTGAGAAAATCGCCTTTAAAGTTGTCCAAATGAAGTCCTTAGCAATGCATATTACTAATCAAAAATTAAGTTTTGATATATTTACAGTAGGAAATTTACAAAATATCTTCATGGACCATGATCTTTACTTAATATCCTAATGATTTTTGGCATAAAAGAAAAATCGATAATTTTGACCCATACAATGTAAAGTTGGCTATTGCTACAAATATACCCGAGCTACTTAAGACTGGTTTTGTGGTCCAGGGTCACAAAAGATATTTCAGAGCCATAATTTTTTTTTAATAAACAAAATAAATTACCAAAGAACTCTGTGACCAGATGTCACTTTTACACAGAATAAATAATCTCAGGCCTCCCATCTATAAAACATTATTACTGAATAACAAGCTATCCAAATGATCTTTCATCTGATGGACCGAGCCCATGCAACAAAAACAAACACCACATGAAACAGCCGAGGACACTGTCCCACATGTCACCCGAAACAACATGTCTCGCTGTAGACAAACAGTGACCAGAGAAACAGGGAGCGTCCCAAAATAAACAAACAAAAGTAGGTCAAGTCTGTTGGGCTTATCTATCAGCCATAGAGCTCAGAGTTCCCGAACCGCAGCAAACAGAGCCATCAAGAGACACATCCTCACCGTCTCGCTGATACTACAGAGATAATGCTGCACTTACACAAGAGAAGAGCACGTCACACTCTCACTAGAGCACGTGCTTTGACAACAACTGAGATTAACAGCACCTTGAGCAGAAATGCAGACAGAGACAAGGAACAAAAGGCCACTGAAGAGACAGACACACACTCATCTTCTTTCTTTGTCTTTGTAAGCACTCTGTATGATTTTACTCACTGAAAAGCAAATTACTGTCTTGGCAAGTAATCACATAGACACTGTATCCGTTTATTAGCTCCTAAAGTGATGGCAGCCTACTATACTGATGTATTTGCCATTGATATTAAACAAAATTTGTCTTTGATCTTATTATGTCTTTGACAAAATAAAACAAAAATAACTATATTGTGATATATATTTTATTGGGAAATGAAATGAATTGTGAAATAAGATTCTGATCATATCAACAGTCATATCAACAGTCATTCGCAACGTTTTATTGGATGGAATGAGTATTTCATTCTCTCATATTAGAACAAAAATAGTTAAAAAGACCTGAAAATGCAAATTCTGTGATTATTTATTCACCCTTGTGTTGTTCCAAACCATTCTTCTGCAGAACATAAAATATATTTTGAGAAAAGTCTCAGTGTTCATTGATTTGTACAATGGAAGTAAAATAGTCACCAAAGCTGTCTGATTACCAACATTCTTTAAAATATCTTATTTAATATTAACACAACAGAGATAAAATCATTGGAACATCAAGAGTACTTGATAACATTCATTCATTTCAAACAGTCTTGTGTAGTCTTTTTCCTTTTTCTTGCTTTAAAACCACTGCTTATTGGTTCCATACTGATAAAATGAATGAGAAAAAAGACCTCCAGAACCAAGGCCACTAAAACAAGTGGGCGTTCCCTGTTGTGCTCTATTTATGGCTCCAGGTGTGAGAGCTCAGACTGAACAGGCTCTGTTTCCTACATGTCCTTTCCTAAGAATAAATGAGAGAGAAAGCAAGAGAACAGAAGTGAATACACATGAACAGAGAAAGAATGGAGGGGAGGGGGAGTATTTGTGAGTGTTGGAAACTGAAGGAATGTGTGACTGTGTGTGTGTGTGTGTGTCTGCACACTAATGCAACTCACATGAGCAGGCGTGAGAGAAAGCAGCGCTCATGTGCTGTGCTCCAGCTAAAGGAAGGGGATTTCCACAGGCCCCTAATAAAGCCATCCATCCCCGTCTCCCTCTGATGACCTCAGCACTGATTAACCCCCACACCTCCACACATGCTTGTGTGTTCCTGCAGACCATTTCTATGTTACTCACATGAATAATAGGTGAGATGCTTACAGCATGGCCCTCCTGACCAAATTTAATCTGATTTACTCAAGCTGACTGAGCTGCAAAACAACATGTCCATCAAATCACTAAAATGTTCAGTAAGCTCTTCAGTAAGAGAAAATGTGCCAGTAGAGACAGGAAGTGAATTTTATGTTTAATAGAGTGCATTAGTGCCTGTGCAGTTTTTCAGTGGCCTTGGTACTGAAAGTACTGTTCCCTGTTCATTTTTCAAGAATTTTAAAAAATTGTCCATCATTGTTTAAGTGTTATAAGCCATGAATCAAACCAACTAGCTACAAAATGAATCACAACATTACAAACTTTGATAAAAAGAATAAAAAATAGACAAAAAGACAAAAGGTACAAGCCTGTGTACTTAATGGCTTTAGTGAGAGAAATAGGGTGACCAGACGTCCCATTTTTCCCGGGACAGTCGCGTATTTCAGCTCTATTTTTAGTGTCCTGACTTATTTTTAAAAAATCATGTTTTGTCCCGTATTTCAACATTTCTTTACGACTGGGTGATCAGAGCGAGTAGTAGTAGTGTTCTGTCACGCAAGAAGAGACTAATCAAAGGTAACTAAGCTTGTCGTAGAACAAAATTACCATCCAATCACAATTCGTTATCAATTAATTTGCAGTAAGTGAATGCGATATAGATAGGGGGAATCATGCTGAATGACACACTAGAAACGCTCTCTCGACCGCGCGATCCCAGTTCTGCAATCAGGTCTTCTTGCGCCTTAATTGTCAAATACACACACAGCTGTCAAAATGTCCATCATGTGGAGTATCTCACAGTCAAGCAATACGCACGTGTCTCACAGCGCATATCCTGTGAAATAAAGCCCGCCGCGATTGTCTCTAGCTCGCACATGTGCCATGTGCAGGAAAAAGCTAAGCTCAGGTTTTAAAATAGAGAGTGCATTTTTAATACTCGCGTGACAAGCGCGTATGCGAATGACGTCAGAAGGCTATAATCGATTATGGTCTATTACTGCATCGATGCAGAATCGTCCACGTCCGCATTGCGATACATCGATTAATTAATCGAAATTAATTTCGACACCCCTAGTATTTATACATTTAGACTGTATTTATAATTGCATAAATATTGTTATGAGATTAATGTTTTAAATACAAAACTCTGAATATATAAATATGTTAGAAAAGAATGTAATATGCCTACTTTTAGACGGGAAACTTAAAACCGCCAGCAGGTGGCAGGAAGTGTTCATGATTGAATCACTGAGTCATTCAAATGATTCTTTCAAAACAGCTGAATCCTTCAGGAGTGAATCAAAAGACTGTTTTTATGAATGGCTTAGTGTATCAGTGATTTGCCCAAGCCAACGCGGATTCAGATTCGAACACAGAAACGAAACAAAAACAGCACTCTTGACAATTACTGAACTGTTAGGAGCATTTTTGTTAGCAGCATTTATATTAAAATATTAATTTATAATGTTAATATATATATATATAATGATTGATAAGAACCAAGTGCAAAGCCGCTTTGTTGATGAATGGAATTGCATTTGTGATCGCAAAGATGCTTCAAAACCAAAACACAAAATAAACTCCAGGCCTGGTCCTCTCTCGTCTTTCACTGTTGTCACTCCTACTTTTATCCTTCCGGAGCTCCTCCGTGAGACTCGAGACCGATGAGTGGCGCAGGTGTCGCGCATTAGCAATTACTCCACCGGCCTCGCTCCGTTCCCACGGCTCTCAGTCCCGCCCCTCTCGTCACAATTGGACATAAACGAACACGTTAAATATAAAGTATTTAAAACAGGTAAGTTCATATATTTGGAGTAAATTTAAATTAAACAGATACATCAGTCATACAGCGCTCCGGACTGCGCGCCCCATGATGAGCCCGACACACCGCCACAGAAACAAAAATGAGATGCGTTCTAACATAAATGTGGCATTAAACTCAGTTAGTGAGGGCTCGGTTAAAATATTGCACATATATCAGGGCTCTAGACTCATTCTTCCCACTGGTCGCTCTTTTGCGACTAACTTTCTCAGTTGGTCGCACGAGCACATAATTTGGTCACAATTTTTTTTTTGGCTACAACATTTGATTAATCAATGCATGCTGATGAACTTTTATCATAGTTTATAGTTATATGTAGTGGTCGACCGATATAGGTTTTTTGACAGTCGATACCGATGCCGATATCTTGGAAAGCAGGGTGGCCAATGGCCGATATAAAGCAGATATAATTGTATTTATTTTAATTCATATTTAAGTCTCACTTTCAAATTCGCGATTTTGGTGTCACGTTTTACAAGAAAAGATAATTGTCTGTTTTGCTTATATCTATACACCTTTCACTTTAAGAC